GTATAGGATTCACTTTTTATGAGGTTTTGACTTTGAAATAGCTTTTACTTAATCTGTTTTATTTTGTGAAATAATTATTGAAGGAGGGGTTGTGTTTAAACTAACCTGCCACTCACATGATGGTGGTGCAGACCTGCAATCCTGACGCTAGTGTTCTTTTGTTGCTGTGTCCCTTTGTCCTGAAAGGCAGGTCTCATAGGTGGGAGGGACACCCAAATAGTGCATGTTCAAGACACAGTTTAGAAAACTGGGTTTTGCTGTTCATTTGGTGTTAACAACTATTGGCAATATCAGCCTATTAGGAAGTATTTCTTTCAATCTTGCATATTCAAACGCAAAAAACAATGCTCACAAATCAAACTTTTTTGCTATAAATATTTCACTGATTTATGAAAAAACAACAGACCTGCAAATCATCAGCCAATTATACAATTACACTACTTAACCTTGCGACAGCACTACAGTATTTTTACCATTAATTACCATTTTGTTGACCTTTTCTTTTTGAACATTCCACAAAGGTTTCTGTCACTTGCTGTCAGCATTTGCATCGCAGCTACTAAAAAATACATCAGGTGTTGGAATTAATGGCTGTTTGATTCAATACTCGTGTCCAGAAATATTAATTGCATGCAGTGGTAAAATGCATGATGCTTAAAATCTATTATAATTTATAATATAATGAATCACACTTAGAATTTGTTATTCCCTGCTTTGGGTTTTTTGTTCATTTGTGAAATCCGATTTCTGAGCAAGACCAATTTGTCATATTAAGTCAATATTAAGAAAGGTTAGGAGCTTATATTCATATGAATTTAAGGTTTTCTTACAATTGTGTTGAAACATTTTTATTGATTTGTGTACCAAATATCGCTTTATTTTGGATATCTGACCCAGAATACAATCCATCAGCCCTAACCTATTTTAGCAAAGCAGCCAAGGGTTGGATTGGCCCACATTCAATCCAGGACTGAATCAGCAAAATAGCCACTAAAATATTGTAGACAGTAAAACACAGAATAAGATAAAATTGCACAGGCAAACAAAAGTCTGTTCTCTTTCAATAAAATTGTTTCCCCACTCTTGCAGAGAGTGTTTTGCATTAACTGCGGATCAATTTAAGTCAACAAACATGAAAGGCAACACGTCACATCAAGACTCATACACCACAAAGACTCTGTCCATCACTCATTGAGCCTGCTCTATCTGCAAATGAACAAGAGAGCCTCGCCATTCAATAAGCATGTTAATATCTGAACATCTAATAGCACTAGAAGCGGCTGCATTGTGTTGCGGCTGCTCATGCATTTGCAAATCTCAATAGCTCGCATCTATTGATGTACAACGGAGAAATGCAAATCAGTTCAGCAACCCTCAGCAGCATCAGCAGAACAGCTAGAGCTCCTAGAAAGATTTTTTTCTCTGTATTTTCTTTGGAGGTGAGTGGAAGTCATATGACTGTGGAATGTAATCAGCGAGGCCATTCAATACTGCTGCCATGATTACTGCCAGACGGAGGCCTCGCTGCCAGCGAAGTCAGAGGGCAGCCCATCCAAGAATACCTCCTCCAGCATCCACAAGATGAATTCCTTTGGAGATGCCATCTGTTTGTCTATCGCCCAGGTCCTACGAGCACAGGTTAGATCAAGCTATTACAACAAGCCTTTCCTCATTCGTAACATATGAAGGAAAGGCGTTGATGATGATCAGTTTGATTGTTACTCTTCCACGTCTTTGTCCCAGTCTGGCTTTGTCAGGGGTGTTAATGATGCTGCAATTTAGGTTTTTCTACTGGGTAGGGCCACTGGAATTGATTTCGATCGGGGGATTCTGTGAAAATTATTTTTGTTTTTTGGGGCAAAAGACCTATAAACCTATAAGCCTATTAAAAATACAATAAATAAAAGTAGCAAATAGATTAGGATTCAATATTTTATTTTTGTATACACTTCAGTGCACGCAACCAGGGTCTGTAACACACAGACACCATTAATCACCTCAATCATTCATCAGTTCTCAGGTGAATATATGCGCTATTAATTAAACTTCACAATAAAAAGTTTTCAGTGGGTTTATGTCAATTTTTAAAAGCCGGCATTCACGAAGAAGTTGTCTTTCTTAAATTTATCTCTAGGTATGACTGTCTTCTGACTGCTTTCAAACAAACAAAACACAAAATATGATCAGTCTCTTCTACATAATGCATAAAACATTTCATTTCCAAAACGCGGTGCAGGAAAATTGAAAATGCATGTTGGCTGGAAGGGCTTGTCTAATCCAATCATGCTAGGTTGTTTTGCAGGTGCTGGGACTGTGCCCGCTGTTGCAACTGCCGCGGACATTCTCCTCACTCTGGCTGCTCTCCGTTGTCGTGGTTGCAGTATTAGTGTTCTTCTTCACTGGTGGTTGTTTTCCAAAAAAAAATCCGAAATGTGTTTCTGTGCCATATTTCCTCCTCGTTTCCGTTTCTCAATTCACTAGAACGCGAGTACGGCCTTGTGTCCTCACCAAGTACGTTCTTGAGAAGAACACTTCGATCTTGTGTTGATTAGGTCTCGAAATAATTTCATTGAAACAGACATTTCCCAAAATATTGATAAGAAATTTATAAAATGTGCAAAGTATTTTTTAAATATTTCTAAAAAATAATAAAAAAGTATCCCTCTCGCCACTAGGAGGGGCTGCAGCACCCCCAGAAAACCCACTTCCCACGTCTATGACACTGAAACTAAACTGAGCCATATTGATTCATGCAAAGGTCTCAATTTTTACTTGTTTCAGGTACATTTTATAACCACTTGGTATTTCACTCATCATTTAACTTGACGAAATGTGCCTTTATGAATTTATTACATGTAATCTATCTAATCCGGAGATATTTTGGATTTCTCATCCTTCTAATATGTCATCTTTATAAGATGTAGCAGGCTTAAAATGGGATGAAAACCCAAAAAAGGTCAAAATACAGGTTTTAAAGAGTTATGTATATAAAACAAATACGATTCATATTCTGTAAGCATATATATGGATAATTATCCTCATGATACTAAACAAAAATAAAATATTATTGTTGCATATTGGTTTAGTTTCTAGTTGGATGTTGTCCATGTAGTATGGTAGAAGTGAGTGGGGACTTATCTCCAACAGTCACTGGGCATGAGGTAAGCTGCAGCCTGGCCAGGTCACCAGTTAAACAACAGCACAGAAACACACAGGGTGGACCATGTACACACACACACACACTGATTGAAGGGACATATGACAGTACTATTGACCAAACATGTATTTGGAATGGGAGGAAGTCAGATTACCTATAGAGAGCCTTGGCATGCACAAGTAGAACATGCAGAGTCTATGAACAAAGACAAGTGCCGCTGAGCACAAAATGAAAAACAATAAGCATTGTCTTCATGGATAAATAGAAAAAGCTTTACTTCTTCTTTAACAAAATAGGACTTTTTCAATATAACAGAAATAAAAATGCTATTTATGATGAATGTGGTTTACCGGCTCTAATAACTAGCTGATATTACCTGGTTAATTACACCTGCAATCTGCACGTTGTGCCACAGGCAGCTGTTCAACAGACATGCTCCTCATATATCTTGTTGGCTGTGGTTTTAAAACAGTAATAAATACGGCCAACTGGCCACATGTTTGTTTTTTGTTTTGTTTTTTTATGAGGGGGAATGATTTTTAGCCTTCCTTTAGCCAGTGAACCTTTAGCCATCAGTTAACAACTGTTATATAAATGGTAAATTGTGTTTTTTCAAGCCATAGAGTCGGTGTGATTAAACTGCTTGTAGTTTTGAAGCTCTGACTTTCAAAAACCTCTGCAAAACAGAACCTATGCTTAGTTTAAGGATCCTTGGCAACACAGACATAGGAAGGAACAAAAAGGCAATGCAGAGGCAGAAGGTGGGAGGTGCAAATTGGTTAATTGAGCCAGTCCTTATCCAGATGCAATGTATTCATAAACAGAAGCACATGATAAAAAAGATAATAAGCGGTCAGTTTATTAGCAGCGTTATCATTTATCGCATTTTCTGCTTGGTCCAACCGGTAGAATATAATCCATCAGTTCACAGCAACTGCTTTCCCGATCCTCTGGAGCAAAATATTTCTCCAGCTAATGGTTACATTGGTACATCATGGTTTAAGTTAGCAATAGGCTGCATTGAGATTTCCACAGTAAACAACCTTGAATCTAAATACTCTCATGGTCCAGATTTGCTGCATGTTGTGTTGGTTTCAGCTGTTTTACAACCATAATGACTATTTAATGAGCATAAACGGTGGGGGTGTCATTGCAGGCATTATAAGCACAGTAAATCTGTACACAAGTCTTTATCAGATAAAGTTAATGGAAATCTAGCAGGGTGGGGCTTCTGAAACTTACCTTATCAAGTTCTTGATTAATCAACACCAGGGGACAATAGAGAGATAAAAGCCTCATTGAGGAGCTGCAGAGCCTCCACTGTATTGTTTTGCAGCAAAAGCAGAACTACAACTAGAAATACATTTAAATGATTGACCAGAGACATGAGACTGCAGGAGTACATTGGAAATATTTAACATGAAATCATTTGTTTTGATGTTTTTCCCCCCAAAAAAATCCAATCAGAGTTTAATCTCTAAATCTGTCACGCTGCCTTTCCTTTTGTTGGATTTTTCTTTCTTTTTTTCCTTCTTTTTTCTCATCTATGCTGGGCCTCTAAATGAGAACCCAGTGGTCAGATCAGACTGCCAGCTATTCACATGACAGCCGCATCCTCAATCATCTGCCTGGGCATTTTGAAGAGTCTAGTTCATTGTCTCACAGATGGACCTAATTGATTCTTCAAGCGTGCCGCGAATGTTGGTAGAGAAGCAAATAAATAATAATAATAATAATAATAAAGGAAAGATAATGAAACGGAGATAGTTGTGGTAAAGCAGTGAGATGCGCTGAGATCGGATGATGAAAACCAGTCCGGGCGCATCAATCAACGCTCACCTACCGGATGGTTTTGGAGCTGCCGCTCTTCCTCTTTCTTTCTATCAGTGTTTCTCTCTGCTGGATCAGACAAAGTCCCTGGATTTTCCTCCACAATCAGGTGCGAGCACCCTCTCGCCTTCGTTGTATTCCCATATGTGTCCGCCGCCGCAGCTGTGAAGGCTCCAGTGGATGAGTGACTGGATCCAGCCCCTTCCTTCCCTCCTTCCCTCTCTCTCCCTCTGTCTCCCTCCGCCTGATTATCTCCCCGCTGCGGCACTGGCTGCACCGTAGCCTAATACGGAGGAATCAAACCCGCCGAACTTGTTCTGGGGTCTGTGTTGGTAATTAGTCAGCGGACCCAGTCCCTGCTCCCTCACTCCTGCAGGCTGGGAGAAATGCGCTGTGGCTCCTATGCGCTATTTGCGCTGAATACATTGGCCCCGAAACTGGTTTTATTCTCTGAAAGAGAGAGAAAAAGAAAAAAGGTCTTTATTGTTTCAGCTGAGACTGATGAAGGATGAAGAGAAGGAAGAAAGGTCTATCTATCTATCTATCTATCTATCTATCTATCTATCTATCTATACTTATATTTATCTATCATCTATCTATATTTCTATCTCTATCTATATATCTATCTCTATCTACTTATATCTATCTACCTGTATCAATCTATATCTCTATCTATCTCTATCTATTTATCTATCTATCTCTATCTATCTAATTTCAATTCAGTTTATTTCCATAGCGACAATTCACAACAAAAATCATCTCAAGGCCCTTTACAGTTCAACCAGATCATACAGATTCAAAGTTTTCTATGTATCTATCTATCTATCTATCTATCTATCTATCTATCTATCTATCTATCTATCTATCTATCTATCTATCTATATGAAATACAATATATTAAAAAATTAACAAGTGGTGCATGTTTTACCATTGGCTTAGGAAATAAAATTTACTTTTTTAATCATCTCTATAACTAGACCTGTATAAACATGTATTTTGATATATTATATTAATGCTTTTATCTATTACAAGTCAAATATTAACCAGCAGTGGGAGCGCCCGCCCTATAAGACGCCACTCAAGCTTTCGACAGTTTCTTTGCCCATTACTTGGTGTCCATTTCTAATTCAAACGGGTCTGGATTTCCCACTGCGCAGTGTCAACATAATTTACCGTCTCATAAAGCAGTATATATCTATCTATATATTTGTATATATCTATGCTCTTGTTGTTGTCAGATTGCCTTGTGCACCTTTTCTCCAACTAAATCTGAAATATTTGCACCAGAAACAATGTGGCTTAAAAGGTTCTAATCTGTCTGTCAACAGATCAGTTATGAACCATCATTTCATGTTGGAACAGGCAGGTGATGTGAGATCTGGGAGTGACCGAACCACCTGGCTCCCTCAGATACTTAAAGGTGGCCAAATGTTTTACAAACCTGTTTTCTTTCTTTAAGCCATTTTACTCAGGACATTGACCGCGATTTAACAATGTGTTAATCAAACAAAGGCTTTGGTGCATGTTTGGCTTTCGATGCAGCCCAATGCACCCATTTCCATCTCAACTCTGACCAGCCTCACTTTACATGCTGGGGTAAAAAAAGCATCATGATCCTGCCACCACCATGCATGGCTGTGGAAATGGTGTGTTCAGGATGCTTGTGAAGTATCAGTTTTTTTAATCGCATAGTTCTACCTGGTCATAAAGCTAGATGTCGATGTCTTTTTAGCTGGCGTATCATCTGTCTCATATTTGGTGTGTCTCATTATGGCACACATCAAAGTTTTAATGGGTTTTCTGGTGTATTTTTATATCACCACTCATCTGTTAAAGGCACATTATTGATTAATACCATAAATTCAAGATCCTCCTTCCCTTTAATTTCTTCAGAAGACAGCTCTACCATTCTGTCAGATTATCCACATGTGAGTCATGGTGGAGCTCAAACAGTGGGTGTCCACTGGATTTTTTTTTTTTTTTTTTTACCTTACTTGAAAATAAAAACCTAAGAGAAGCGAGGCTTATTATAAAGTCTTGCCTTCATTAATGTTGCAGCCTGGGCGACTGAGAGCGCAGCTACCAGCGGCTGTGTTGTACCGACTAATGTCAACAACCTTGTTTGAGTTCATGACTCAGTGTCAGCAGCTGATGTTGGTTTACAGTCGCTTGCACATTTTCAGACGTGTTAATTAAATGTGCCTGCCTGGTGATATAATATGGACTCGCCCTGTAATGCTCAGACTGATTGTGCCGCTGTCCTTGAGGACAGTGTCTGTCTGGTTCTTGCCTTTTCCTATCGCTCACACCGACTCTCAGTATACACTGAAGGATGCTGCTGGCCTCTGAGATGACCGCCCTGAAGGTGTAGTTCCAACTTTTTACTTCTTGCATCCCTGAAGACAGTCACTTAGAGTAATATTTGATGATGTGAACAGTGTTACATTCAAACCATTAACACATGTTTAATTATATGATAATTGAGACCATCTCTCACAGCGCCCTGCTCACATCCAGGGCTCAGTGAGAATGCGACTAACATCTGACCCTTCTGAGATATTTAGTTCATCCTTCCTTTCTCGCCCCCCTCATGAGCTGCTTTCCGTCTCTGCCGCACTCCCTCTCCATGGCGTCTCAGCAGGAGTGGGAGTGTAATTACGCAGTCAGACGGTGTTTACAGACGCAAAAGCGCCTTAATTTATTCCAACAGTTAGCAGTAATTTCCCAGTTTAATTTATAGCCCCTCCACCCAGTGGGAAAGTGAGAGAAGCGGATACTGAGAAAGGGAGTAGGGGAGATTGGAGGCGAAGCATATGGGCCTTTGACTACTAAACACACCAACCGCAACTTCTACAAGGCGCGTTCACATGTTAAAGGCTTTATTATTGGTTTAACTGCACATTTAAGTAGGAATTTTTTTTTCTTTCCCTGATCAGCGGTTAAATTTTCATTGCTCTCACAGTGGGAGGAGAGCAAACCAGACAGCGCCTTACAGAAGCATTCACACTTCAAAGCTGTCACATAACAGCCATGAACTTCATAATATTGAATTTTGTTTTTTTCGCTTTGGAACACAACTGTTATATGATTTCTGATATAATTTCATAAATTACCTTTAGAAGTCACCCAGTAGATAAATTGACATAAATCCAGTCGTTTAATGAATGCCTCATAGGTTTGTCAGGCATATTTCCCACTGAAATTAATGGGTTCACATGTTTTTCAAACATTGGTTGACTGGCTAACAATCAGCATTTGGCTCTCTTCCCACTGGCAAAAAAAAGCTGGTTCTGCCCCTACGGTGGCAAGCTGCAAGGCTTGTGTGCCCCCGCAGTTGCATTTCTGGTGACACTATCACACTGGGTTATTGTTGATAAAGTCACCCCTGCGGCTAAAAATCAGGAAAGTAAACAATGGACAGCAACATAGAAGTGAACCAGAGTGTAGTAAGTGTGCTTTATTTTTCTGCTCTTTTGTCAGTCCGAATTCCTCTCACTAGAACTGTGTTAAGTTTATCAAATGTAAACAGAGTTGTTTCGGCTTAAATTCAGATACGACTGGCGCAGCATAATGACGTCTGTACATTGCACTCAATGGTATCACGTAAAGCGTGTCAAACCAGGTCTGGTGATTCCACAGCATGCGATTTTAACATGGGTCGCTTGGCAAGTCGCTTGATCTGGTTAGACATCCATTCCCGCTGCCACTAAAAGCAGAATGTTCCCTGGTTTAAACGGGTTTTTTAGCCAGTAGGAAAGGGGTATTAGGGAACATTAGTGAACAAATAGCAGGAGGCAGGTTAGGGAGATGTTCAAAATGTAGCCATGCAGTTATGCATGGAAAAATGGCAGACAGTTCGTATTGGCAGGGGTTTGCAAGTATAAACATATTTAGAAGTTCCACAACTCATGGAAATAAATTATTATCTCTTTAGAAATACAACCAGAGGCTTTTGGAATGTTGGAAACAGCCATGTTTTCTATTTCTACATGTAGTGTGGTGTTACAAGCTGGTGGTTTGTGCTCTACAGTGCCCTCTAGTGTCTACCCAAATAATGGCTTCAGCAAAGGAAAGCGGCGCTCAGTATAAAATGCTGCAGAAACTCTTTATGGAATGTTCTGCATGTCTCACTGCCATCCACAGCTAATATGGATTATTTGTTGAGAGGAAGAAAGACAGACATAAAACATCTATACGTTTACGACAGTTTTCTGGTCAATCTAACTCAACTCTTTGGTTTGTGGCAGTTACCAACGCAAACAGCTCCCTAAATGCACTTCCTAATGGCAAAAGCACAGTGATGGCAGCATGACAACAAAGTACAAATACTCCGTTACTTACCTAAGTACACTTTTTTGGTATCTATACTTATTACATTACTTATTTTTCTTCCTACTTCTGACTTCTACTCATTACATTTTCACATAAGTACCTGTACTTTTTTAAAACAAACGTTACTCGTTCCTCTTGGCTTTGGTTTTATGTTTATAAATATTTATTTCACGTCATGTGCGCCATCCAATGCAGATCATTGGCGCCATCAACATCTAGTGAAAACTAGTGTAATTGGATGAGTCATATAACGCAAACACTCATTGGTTAACTAAAGGAAATAATCTGAAGCAAGCAGGTGTTCTTCAAACTGTAAACATGAATTGTCTATGCCATGCTACAATGACGGATTCAGAAAAAGATGTTGAAATGTCTAAAAGCTTGGACACAGGCGAGAGCGTATCGGGAGACAGAGACCAACAAGACCTCCCTCATCCTTGGCCCTATCTAAAAGAATTTTTTGAAATAGTCGAAAAATTGAGCTTTCAATTCATATAGTGGCATCTGGCTGTTTTTTTTAAAGGTTACTTTATACTATTATACTTTAAGTAGTTTTTGGAGCTCATACCTTTTCTCTTTTACTTGATTAAAGAGGTCAAGTTGATAGTTCAACTTTTACCAGAATGTTTTTAAACTGCAGTATCTATACTTCTACTTCAGTAACATATGTGTGTACTTTTGACACCACTGCCCATTAGACTTGCAGTTCAAGGTAGCCCTACATAGGATGATCTTCACGGAGGTGCTTGTGGACTATAAGAAAATGGAGCTGTTGGATGCCTTTTAATAAAAGTTGTTGGAAAAAAATAATAATCCTTCAACTTCACAACCAAGCATTACTTGCTATTTTCTGTTAAATCCCAGTGAAATACCCTGAAGTCTCTGCTAGAAATGTGGACATTATGTGGAAGTTCAAGGAGTATTAACACATTTGCAAGGCATTGGATGTGTAAGCTGTAACAAACACACAAAAAAAATCAGCCTTTCAACAATCAGCACAAGGAGACAGCAAAGTGATAATCATGTCATGTCAGGCTACAAACTG